GACAAAACCACTTGTTAGGTACTTTTGTAATTTTCAAACAAGATAAATGAAAAGTAGAGATGGGACATGCTTGGTTTGTGCATGTTACCACAGGCCCTCTAGCTGCCAGTCTGCAAAAACAAGCAAAAACAATTGGGATAAGGGGATGAATGAGACAAACTTCACTTTTGAGTATACCACCTTCCCAAAATTTCTGGTAGCACACAGTATCTCCAGAAGTGATTAAGTTTGGAAACAACAGAGTGCCAGTGTCTGACATCAGGCAAAATTCTTTCACAGAAGAGATCAATTTGCTCACGAAAACCACAAACAACAAAGTCACAATAAAGCTTTTCAGCAGTGAATATTTACTGTTGGATTTGGTAAAAGTAGGCATGAGTTGTATTTGTTAATATACAGCTCCAAGTCTATATCCTTTAAACAATAGGGGCTTTTGACCTCCCCACATCCATTCCCACAGCAATCACACCTACACAAAACGTCAGGTGTGGCATGTAACCATGGATATTGTTTATTGATAAACGTGCCACATTTCGTTACCTGAAAGTTGATGTGCTTTTCCTTCATGATCTTTTCATAAGTTTCAATAGCAACACTTTCATGTTTACAACCATGTTCTGTTGACTTCTATACACCTTAAAATAGTCTTTACTGTAATAACTCATGTCAATCACCAAAAACAACAATAAATCCATCGATTTGACCAGAGGCAGGCACTCTGGATCGTATTTTTTGTCTGAGAACAAGAGAGGATCGATTCCAACACAATAAATCTTCTCTAAATAACGTTTTTTCACGTGGGGATCGAGCGTGTTTGCATAATCTGAGAGAGGATATCCCGCCATGTTGAAAAATGTGGAACACCAACATGGTGACTCAACTTTCCCGCGAGATTTGTGACGTCATGTGCAAACGCTCTATTACAAAATATTTCATAACATATTCTGACGATCTCGACGTAGCAAGTAGGTGTTTTTCTGGAGGAAGATTTGAAAGCAAACAAACAACATGAAAAAACTCGGGAATATAGAGTGGTTTATTTCATTCTACAACTCTATGAAAACTGACAAATAATTAAAAATAGTCATTAACATTCAAGGGCACAAGGTTTGCAATCTCCATGCCATTAATTTTGGTGATTCTTTTCTTTTTTCATTACCTGGCATAAAAATTACTTGGCCCCTCTAGGCTATAACAAGGCCAAAGGTCAATAAAGAATGTCCACATAATATTTGTGAATTGCCTAGTATTTACTTATTCTTTATCAGCTTGAACAATGATCAAGACATATATCTTATTAACCAAGCGCGAGGGCCATACTGGGAGAACATTGGCCCGAGGTCTTGACAGTACAGACCTCGCTGCGCTCGGTCCGTACAAAAA